TTTCTCTGCTTTATTTATAGTTTTAAGTTTAATCAACGACAAATTTTCAGTCAATCGTCAGATTCGGCTCCCAAATTCATGTCTGTATCATTGTAGTTGGCTTGTTGACACATATTTTTCCCCACTTCTTCTTTGTGCAAATTTTGTATGGTACCTAAGTCGAATAGTCACATTCAGGATCTATATTGTCATCCGTGTCAATATACTGGGGTTCTTCTGTATTTGAAGATTCGGAACTTGAAGATGATTCTAGTCTTTTTCTATATGTTTCTTTATTAATTTTTTGTTACTGCTTTTATGCTTAATACCACTAGTACCTACTAGCAATACACATGTTTCTTCAACCTTTGAATTATTATCCTTCCTATTTTTATTAGATGCTTTTGCCCCTTTGAGTGTTAGAATTTCCTGTGCTTAGTACCTACTATATAGGTATCAATAATAGAATACATACCTTGATAAGGAAGCTGCGAGGATCCCTTAGCTTTTGTCCTTCGTTCGAGAACGTCAAAATGCACAAATTTATATATGTTTACATTGCAAAGTAACGAAAACCACTAAACCACCAGTTGCTGGGGCAGACATGTTTCAGCAAGTATTTGACCGTTTTGTGTAGCAAAAAATTTGTTACATTGTCACATTTCAAAAATATCAATTTTAAGAAAAAAATATACATGTCTGTATAAAGTTCCGCGCAAGTTGCAATGTCACACCATCCTACGGTAGATGTTATTACTTCTGCACCAGCAGAAATTTTCTTCCTTGGAATCCTTAGCAGTTCTCTGTATGGTAGCTAGTAGAATATCTTGAAAACATGAGGTTTCTGGGGACACATATATATTTTGTTCTTCGTTGGTAATTTGTAGCTCTCTTTGGTCTTCTATTAAATAGTCTGGATTTGTTGCGGTTTCATTAGATACTTCTCGTTCTATAAGATCATTTTTTCTCTGTTCTTTGTATTTTTGATACCTTTGAAATTTTTCTAAGGAAATTTAATTTTCAAATATTTCAAAGGGCCATATTTTGGATACTAGAAAAGCTATGGGTATGAAATTTCATCCAGTTATAGATCTCGATTGGGGCTTCAAAAAAAAGTATTTGGGGCACCGAGCCCTAGGGCTTCGTTTTCGAAATAATCGGCTTACAAGGTTTTCCAAAATTTAGGACAAAGTTTCAACTTTGAGGCTCAATATCTCGAAAACTATTTGAGATAATTGATTCAATCTTGCTCCATCTTGAAGAGCATTTAATTCTGATTACGAATATATAAATTTGCATTAGAATCTCAAGTGAGCTATGGGCGATTTTGTGAAGCAATGTCGGATAATCAGAATGTTTCAGGGTAAAAAATGCAAAAATCAATTTTAATTTTTTACGGGCCTTAAAACATCACATGGAAAAATCACGGAAATGCTTTTCTACTAAATTTCATCCCCTCTTTCTATTGGAAAAGTCAAAAATTTGAACATTTGAAAATTTCAAAAATTGAAATTTTTTCTGAGGAGTATGCAAGGAAATTTAATTTTCAAATATATCAAAGGGCCATATTTTGGATATCAAAAAAGCTAATGATATGAAATTTCGTCCAATAGTAGATCTCGATTGGGGCTTCAAAAAAGGTTATTTGGGACACCGAGCCCTAGGGCTTCGTTTTCGAAATAATCGGCTTTGAAGGTTTTTCAAAATTTAAGACAAAGTTTCAACTTTGAGGCTCAATATCTAGAAAACTATTTGAGATAATTGATTCAATCTTGCTCCATTTTAAAGAGCATTTAATTCTGATTACGAACATGTAAATATGCATCAGAATCTCAGAAATCTCAATTGAGCTATGGGCGATTTTGTGAGGCAATGTCGGATAATCAGAATGTTTCAGGGTAAAAAATGCAAAAATCAATTTTAATTTTTTACAGGCCTTAAAACATCACATGGAAAAATCACGAAAATGCTTTTCTACTAAATTTCATCCCCTCTTTCTAGGGGAAAAGTCAAAAATTTGAACAATTGAAAATTTCAAAAATTGAAATTTTTCTAAGTAGTATAAGGAAATTTCATTTTCAAATACTTCAAAGGGCCATATTTTGGATACCAGAAAAGCCATGGGTATGAAATTCCATCCAGTTGTAGATCTCGATTGGGGCTTCAGAAAAGGATATTTGGGGCACCGAGCCCTAGGGCTTCGTTTTCGAGATAATCGGCTTTGAAGATTTTCCAAAATTTAAGACAAAGTTTCAACTTTGAGGCTCAATATCTCGAAAACTATTTGAGATAATTGATTCAATCTTGCTCCATCTTAAAGAGCATTTAATTCTGATTACGAATATATAAATTTGGATTAGAATTTCTAAAATCTCAATTGGACTATGGGCGATTTTGGGAGACAATGTCAGATAATCAGAATGTTCGAGGGCAAAAAATGCAAAAATCATTTTTAATTTTTTACAGGCCCTAAAACCTCACAAAGAAAAATCACGAAAATGCTTTTCCACTAAATTTCACCTCCTCTTTCTGTTGGAAAAGTCAAAAATTTCAAAAAATGGAAATTTCAAAAATTGAAATTTTTCTAATAAGGGATATGCAAGGAAATTTCATTTTCAAATATATCAAAGGGCCATATTTTGGATACCAAAAAAGCTATTGGTATGAAATTTCGTCCAATTTTAGATGTCGATTGGGGCTTCGAAAAAAAGTTATTTGGGACACCGAGTCCTAGAGCTTCGTTTTCCAGATAATCGGCTTTGAAGGTTTTCCAAAATTTGAGACAAAGTTTCAACTTTGAGGCTCAATATCTAGAAAACTATTTGAGATAATTAATTCAATCTTGCTTCATATTATAGAGCATTTAATTCTGATTACGAAAATATAAATATGCATTAAAATTTCTAAAATCTCAATGGGACTATGGGCGATTTTGTGAGACAATGTCAGATAATCAGAATGTTCGAGCGCAAAAAATGCAAAAATCATTTTTAATTTTTTACAGGCCCTAACACCTCACAAAGAAAAATCACGAAAATGCTTTTCCACTAAATTTCACCTCCTCTTTCTGTTGGATGATTCAAAAATATGAAAAACTTAAAGTTTCAAAAATTGAAATTTTTCTAAGAGGCATGTAAGGAAATTTCATTTTCAAATATTTCAAAGGGCCATATTTTAGATACCAGAAAAGCTACTGGTATGAAATTTCATCCAATTGTATATCTCGATTGGGGCTTCATAAAAGGATATTTGGGGCACCGAGCCCTAGAGCTTCGTTTTAGAGATAATCGGCTTTGAAGGTTTTCCAAAATTTGAGACAAAGTTTCAACTTTGAGGCTCAATATCTAGAAAACTATTTGAGATAATTGATTCAATCTTACTCCATATTATAGAGCATTTAATTCTGATTACGAAAATATAAATATGCATTAGAATTTCTAAAATCTCAATTGGATTATGGGCGATTTTGTGAGACAATGTCAGATAATCAGAATGTTCGAGGGCAAAAAATGCAAAAATCATTTTTAATTTTTTACAGGCCCTAACACCTCACAAAGAAAAATCACGAAAATGCTTTTCCACTAAATTTCACCTCCTCTTTCTGTTAGAAAAGTCAAAAAATTTGAAAAACTGAAAATTTCAAAAATTGAAATTTTTCTAAGGGGTATGTAAGGAAATTTCATTTTCAAATATATCAAAGGGCCATATTTTGGATACCAAAAAAGCTATTGGTATGAAATTTCATCCAATAGTAGATCTCGATTGGGGCTTCAAAAAAGGTTATTTGGGACACCGAGCCCTAGGGCTTCGTTTTCGAAATAATCCGCTTTGAAGGTTTTTCAAAATTTAAGACAAAGTTTCAACTTTGAGGCTCAATATCTAGAAAACTATTTGAGATAATTGATTCAATCTTGCTCCATTTTAAAGAGCATTTAATTCTCATTACGAACATGTAAATATGCATCAGAATCTCAGAAATCTCAATTGAGCTATGGGCGATTTTGTGAGGCAATGTCGGATAATCAGAATGTTTCAGGGCAAAAAATGCAAAAATTATTTTTAATTTTTCACAGGCCTTAAAACCTCACAAACAAAAATCACGACAATGCTTTTCCACCAAATTTCACCCCCTCTTTCTGTTGGAAAAGTCAAAAATTTCAAAAAATGAAAATTTCAAAAATTGAAATTTTTCTAAGGAGTATGCAAGGAAATTTCATTTTCAAATATATCAAAGGGCCATATTTTGGATACCAGAAAAGCTATTGGTATGAAATTTCGTCCAATTATAGATGTCGATTGGGGCTTCAAAAAAAGTTATTTGGGACACCGAGTCCTAGGGCTTCGTTTTCGAGATAATCAGCTTTGCAGGTTTTCCAAAATTTAAGACAAAGTTTCAACTTTGAGGCTCAATATCTCGAAAACTATTTGAGATAATTGATTTAATTTTGCTCCATCTTAAAGAGCATTTAATTCTGATTACGAATATATAAATATGCGTTAGAATTTCTGGAATCTCAATTGTGCTATGGACGATTTTGTAAGGCAATGTCGGATAATCAGAATGTTTCAGGGCCAAAAATCCAAAAATAATTATTAATTTTTTACTGGCCCTAAAACCTCAAAAAGAAAAATCACGAAAATGCTTTTCCACTAAATTTGATCCCCTCTTTTGATTCATAAAGTCAAAAATTGAAAAATTCAGTAAAATCAAAATTACAATTTCTGCAAGGAAATTTCATTTTCAAATTTTTCAAAGCACCATATTTGGAAAACCAAAAAAACAATCGGCACAAAATTTTGTTCTTATATAGATCTGGATTGGGGCTTCAAAAAATGTTATATGGTACACCAAGCCCAAGGGCTTCGTTTTCGAAATAATCAACTTTGAAGATTTTCCGAAATTTAGGACAAAGTTTCAACTTTGAAGCTCAATATCTCGAAAACTACAAGATACATTGTTCTATTTTGTTTTATCTTAAAATCTAAAATTCAATTCTTAATAATATGAAAAATTATTTCAGGTTTTGTAGAAGTAGATCAAGCAGCCACCCCTGAAGAAAGACACGTGGCCAACATGCAAATCAACGGCTACGAAAATCCCACCTACAAGTACTTCGAGGTGAAGGAGTAAGGCGTTGTAAAGCAAAAGAAGAGCAAATTTTTTTTAATTGTTTTAAGCAATATTTATTTATTTTTTTTGGAGCAATATTTGTACATTTATTTGATTTGTTAAGTTTTTCCATTATTTTCAACTGGTCCTTTTGGAGTTCAAAGGGCCAAATAATCAATCATTCCAATTTTGTTTATGAATTTTTGTACTTAAAAAAAAAATACTCTTAAACGCAACTTGATAATAATAATTAATAATTCTTACATATGCAAAAAGAAGTATATAAATAATAATATATAAAAGTAATACATATTTTCAAGTTTAGTGAATTATTGGTTTTTTGCATTTAATAATGAAGACAGTCCACTTTTTTATGAAAGTATATAACAATATATAAAGATGTATTTGTAATAATTGTATTACAATTATATCAATTATTTAGGAATTATTTTTCCCCACATTATACATTTTAGCCAGGCTAGACTTCTATGGTACCCTCCATATTATATATTTAGATAATGTAACTAAAAAAAAAAATGCATGTTACTCAACAAGCTTTTGTACAAAGTCTTATTTTTGTTACCGAAATTTTTCTCTTCCCTGCAATTATTGTCTCTCTATTTGAAATTGATATTACTGACAATATTATTTATTGTATTAATTAATTGATTAGGAATATAGGTTTGTTTTGCACTTATATATTGTACTATTATACCGAGTGTTCATTTAAAACCTAATTTGTCTCAAGAAGGATATTTGATATTTTGAACTTATAACCTAATTTCAATATTACAATATCAATGAAAAATTTTACTCATTGTTACACTGATGAGTAGGTATTTCTAATTAAAATACGGTGCTTTTGAGGGCATTTCCTATCAATTTTTGGCTTTCTTTGGCTTACAACTTCAAAATTGAAACTCTCAAACAGTGTAGACTATATACAATATACATATATTTCAACTTAATTTTGACCTTACAATTTCAATAACAGTCTATTTTTACACTCAAAATAGTCCAGATAAGTGAGAATCAATGGCAACTTTCATCCATAATTAATTTTCAAGTGAACACCCGGTATATAAATTGAATTAAGAATTGGCGATAATCAAAAAAAAAGTATCCCATGAAACTTATAGCTTGATTAATGCACTGATGAAATTTCGTTTTTCTTGGCAGCTTTAAATAAAAAGAAAATACGCAGATATGAGCGTCCAAAGGTTTTATTTTATAATAATTTAGGCGACACACTATTTTTAATGTTACAAAATAGGATTTTCATTGGTATTGGTAGAATATTCTAGAAAAGTCTCGAATTATTTATGGACTGGAGTTGTTGAGTCATACCTACCTATTTGCAACATTAACATTAGTATTTTTTGATTTATTTCATATACTTTGTAAATACATAAAACTACTTTTAGGCAGTGATTTAATTTAAAAACCAAGAAACTTTATTCATCGTCTCACATTAATAGAAACACAACTATACTTTTTGATGTAAATATTTAGATCTTATTGTTACACTTTCAAAGGTACTTATTGTGAAACGCTGGTAGAGTTTTCTTTCAAAGTTTTCGTAGTAAGTTTCATATCAAAAAAGTAAATGATGAAAAAAAAAAAAATAAGTCAATCAGTATTTTTTAAAAGAAAGAAACGTTTTTCGTGCTTTAAACAATTGTAGCTTAAATGTGTACAGATTAATTATTTGAACAAAACCCAAAAAAAGGGGTTCAAACCCCCTTAATAATAATAATAATAATAATAATTTCATCTTTTTAATAATACATAATATATTAATAATTAAATTAGACTACGCAAACCCCTCCTAAACAAAAAAAAAAGTGTGTTTATGTGCTGTTTCGTACTAAACTAAAAAAAAACATCTTTATTGAACCTTTTTAATCCTCGATTCTGTGAAATAAAAAAAAAAGAAACATTTTTGTTAGGTTAGGTTTAGTAGATTAAACATTAATGTTTTGTGGCCATGTAATTTTAAATTTAATGTAATAAATAAATTATTAAACATTTTTGTTGTCCATTTATTGATAATGTTAAGTCATATGTAGGATGTCTTGTGTGCTCGTTTCTACCATTGGCTTTTTTAAAGAGATTTGGTAAATATAAGTAGTTTAATAAAAAAGTTAAAATGTCCTGATACTTTGGGCGTTCAATTGAGACACTCAGACAGCGAGGCATTACACAAAACTAATTTTTCTTGATTTCTAGGGGTGGTAGCTAACATGTGTAGCTATTTTCAAAGCAGCACAAACAACTGTGTAGAGACTACATTTGAAAATTGACAGAAATCACGACTTTTTTAGGGTTTTTAATTTTTTTGAGACACACAGACGGCGGGGCATTACACAAAACTAATTTTTCTTGATTGCTAGGGGTGGTAGCTAACATGTGTAGCTATTTTCAAAGCAGCACAAATAACTGTGTAGAGACTACATTTGAAAATTGACAGAAATCACGACTTTTTTAGGGTTTTTAATTTTTTTTGAGACACTCAGACGGCGGGGAATTACACAAAACTAATTTTTCTTGATTGCTAGGGGTGGTAGCTAACATGTGTAGCTATTTTAAAAGCAGCACAAACAACTGTGTAGAGACTACATTTGAAAATTGACAGAAATCACGACTTTTTTAGGGTTTTTAATTTTTTTGAGACACTCAGACGGCGGGGCATTACACAAAACTAATTTTTCTTGATTGCTAGGAGTGGTAGCTAACATGTGTAGCTATTTTCAAAGCAGCACAAACAACTGTGTAGAGACTACATTTGAAAATTGACAGAAATCACGAATTTTTAGGGTTTTTAATTTTTTTGAGACACACAGACGGCGGGGCATTACACAAAACTAATTTTTCTTGATTGCTAGGGGTGGTAGCTAACATGTGTAGCTATTTTCAAAGCAGCACAAACAACTGTGTAGAGACTACATTTGAAAATTGACAAAAATCACGACTTTTTTAGGGTTTTTAATTTTTTTGAGACACTCAGACGGCGGGGCATTACACAAAACTAATTTTTCTTGATTGCTAGGGGTGGTAGCTAACATGTGTAGCTATTTTCAAAGCAGCACAAACAACTGTGTAGAGACTACATTTGAAAATTGACAGAAATCACGACTTTTTTAGGGTTTTTAATTTTTTTGAGACACACAGACGGCGGAGCATTACACAAAACTAATTTTTCTTGATTGCTAGGGGTGATAGCTAACATGTGTAGCTATTTTCAAAGCAGCACAAACAACTGTGTAGAGACTACATTTGAAAATTGACAGAAATCACGACTTTTTTAGGGTTTTTAATTTTTTTGAGACACTCAGACAGCGAGGCATTACACAAAACTAATTTTTCTTGATTGCTAGGGGTGGTAGCTAACATGTGTAGCTATTTTCAAAGCAGCACAAACAACTGTGTAGAGACTACATTTGAAAATTGACAGAAATCACGACTTTTTTAGGGTTTTTAATTTTTTTGAGACACACAGACGGCGGGGCATTACACAAAACTAATTTTTCTTGATTGCTAGGGGTGGTAGCTAACATGTGTAGCTATTTTCAAAGCAGCACAAACAACTGTGTAGAGACTACATTTGAAAATTGACAGAAATCACGACTTTTTTAGGGTTTTTAATTTTTTTGAGACACACAGACGGCGGGGCATTACACAACACTAATTTTTCTTGATTGCTAGGGGTGGTAGCTAACATGTGTAGCTATTTTCAAAGCAGCACAAACAACTGTGTAGAGACTACATTTGAAAATTGACAGAAATCACGACTTTTTTAGGGTTTTTAATTTTTTTGAGACACACAGACGGCGGGGCATTACACAAAACTAATTTTTCTTGATTGCTAGGGGTGGTAGCTAACATGTGTAGCTATTTTCAAAGCAGCACAAACAACTGTGTAGAGACTACATTTGAAAATTGACAGAAATCACGACTTTTTTAGGGTTTTTAATTTTTTTGAGACACTCAGACAGCGAGGCATTACACAAAACTAATTTTTCTTGATTTCTAGGGGTGGTAGCTAACATGTGTAGCTATTTTCAAAGCAGCACAAACAACTGTGTAGAGACTACATTTGAAAATTGACAAAAATCACGACTTTTTTAGGGTTTTTAATTTTTTTGAGACACTCAGACAGCGAGGCATTACACAAAACTAATTTTTCTTGATTCCTAGGGGTGGTAGCTAACATGTGTAGCTATTTTCAAAGCAGCACAAACAACTGTGTAGAGACTACATTTGAAAATTGACAGAAATCACGACTTTTTTAGGGTTTTTAATTTTTTTGAGACACTCAGACGGCGGGGAATTACACAAAACTAATTTTTCTTGATTGCTAGGGGTGGTATAGCTAACATGTGTAGCTATTTTCAAAGCAGCACAAACAACTGTGTAGAGACTACATTTGAAAATTGACAGAAATCACGACTTTTTTAGGGTTTTTAATTTTTTTGAGACACTCAGACGGCGGGGCATTACAGAAAAATAATTTTTCTTGATTGCTAGGGGTGGTAGCTAACATGTGTAGCTATTTTTAAAGCGGCACAAACAACCGTATAGAGACTACAATCGAAAATTGACAGAAATCACGACTTTTTTAGGGTTTTTAATTTTTTTGAGACACTCAGACGGCGGTGCATTACACAAAACTAATTTTTTTTGATTGCTAAGGGTGGTAGCTAACATGTGTAGCTATTTTCAAAGTAGCACAAACAACTGTGTAGAGACTACATTTGAAAATTGACAGAAATCACGACTTTTTTAGGATTTTTAATTTTTTTGAGACACTCAGACGGCGAGGCATTACACAAAACTAATTTTTCTTGATTTCTAGGGGTGGTAGCTAACATGTGTAGCTATTTTCAAAGCAGCACAAACAACTGTGTAGAGACTACATTTGAAAATTGACAGAAATCACGACTTTTTTAGGGTTTTTAATTTTTTTGAGACACTCAGACAGCGAGGCATTACACAAAACTAATTTTTCTTGATTGCTAGGAGTGGTAGCTAACATGTGTAGCTATTTTGAAAGCAGTACAAACAACTGTGTAGAGATTACATTTGAAAATTTACAGAAATCATGACTTTTTTAGGGTTTTTTAATTTTTTTGAGACACTCAGATGGCGGGGTATTACACAAAACTAATTTTTCTTGATTGCTAGGAGTGGTAGCTAACATGTGTAGCTATTTTCAAAGCAGCACAAACAACTGTGTACAGACTACATTTGAAAATTGACAGAAATCACGACTTTTTTAGGGTTTTTAATTTTTTTGAGACACTCAGACAGCGAGGCATTACACAAAACTAATTTTTCTTGATTGCTAGGGGTGGTAGCCAACATATGTAGCTATTTTCAAAGCAGCACAAACAACTGTGTAGAGACTACATTTGAAAATTGACAAAAATCACGACTTTTTTAGGGTTTTTAATTTTTTTGAGACACTCAGACAGCGAGGCATTACACAAAACCAATTTTTCTTGATTGCTAGGAGTGGTAGCTAACATGTGTAGCTATTTTCAAAGCAGCACAAACAACTGTGTAGAGACTACATTTGAAAATTGACAGAAATCACGACTTTTTTAGGGTTTTTAATTTTTTTGAGACACTCAGACGGCGAGGCATTACACAAAACTAATTTTTCTTGATTGCTAGGGGTGGTAGCTAACATGTGTAGCTATTTTCAAAGCAGCACAAACAACTGTGTAGAGACTACATTTGAAAATTGACAGAAATCACGACTTTTTTAGGGTTTTTAATTTTTTTGAGACACTCAGACGGCGGAGCATTACACAAAACTAATTTTTCTTGATTGCTAGGAGTGGTAGCTAACATGTGTAGCTATTTTCAAAGCAGCACAAACAACTGTGTAGAGACTACATTTGAAAATTGACAGAAATCACGAATTTTTAGGGTTTTTAATTTTTTTGAGACACACAGACGGCGGGGCATTACACAAAACTAATTTTTCTTGATTGCTAGGGGTGGTAGCTAACATGTGTAGCTATTTTCAAAGCAGCACAAACAACTGTGTAGAGACTACATTCGAAAATTGACAGAAATCACGACTTTAGAGGCATTAGAGAAAATAAATTTTGGTTGATTCGTTGATTGTTAGTAGTATTAGGTAAACTAATATTCATAGCTATTTCTAATATGGCACAAACAGCCCTTAGAATTTATGAGAATCTGGCCGGTACAGTTAAAAGTAGGCCTAACCGCGATTCGCTAGTTTTATGGCTGAGATTTTAAAGATACCTTCTCACTAACAGAAAATTAAACCTGAAACTTTTGTAGAATTTGAGAAAGTTTACGACAATGACAGAAAATCTAAGTTAATGTGAAAAGCCTCATTTTATTCATAATTGTGAAAAGTTCTACTTATATTATTATGTCACAGCTCTGGGGTGCGTGACAGAAATATTGGGCTCATTTATTCCAAAATAACACAACAATACTTTTTACCCTACAATAATTAGGTACTACTTCACTTATTAACTTAAACAACTAAACTCCAAACTCCTTACAACTCCTAACAAGATTTACTATCTAAATCATATCGCACAGTCAAACTTAAACCCAAAAACTACTAACTAATACTGGCCATAATCTATTTTTGCAAAATCCAGAATAAACGCGATAGACCTTTTACCCTAATATTCTGTACATCGTGACGGAAGCGCCACTTCCTGTGACAATATATAGCAATTTAAATTCACTCTTAAAAGCCTTCTGAAAGGCATTTTGTAACTTTTAACCTGAATCCAGATTCTGGCACTTTTCAAAATGTTCCTGGAGATTTTAGAGTGTGTTGGAGTGTCCTAAAATAAGTTTGAAACTTCTGTATTGTTCTAAAATGCTTTTGGAAATTAAAAATATGTTTTTGAATGTTTTGGGGCATTCTAAAATGGTTCTGAAATTTCTAAAATGTTCTGAAGCATTACAGAATGCTTTTGGGAATTCTGAATTGAGTTTTAAGTGTTTTCCAAAAAGCTTTATTAAAGTTCTAAAGTGTTCTGTAGCATTCTAAATGGTTTCCAGTAACATCTAAATAAAATGAGAAATGATTATTATAAACAAAAGATTAATGAGAACATACATGATGTTGTAAAAATATATAAAATTAATAATTGTTGAATAACGCGCACGCGCCGCGACTCCATCTTAGAATTAAATGAAAAGAACATGGTAACTTTTTCCCACTCTATACTCGATTCAAGAGCTTGCACCGTTTGCTCCAATGTATAACTTACCGTGCTCGGGCAACTGAAAATCTTGCTCTGGGACAATCATCTAACCTCAGATTTTAAACCAAACAACAACAAAGAAAAAATTGTATTTATCAAGTTATGATTTAATTCAATAATGGAAGAAGATATCCAGAAAAAACTCGTGAGCCTTTGCAATTTGTTACCAGTACACGTAGACTTATGGAAAACAATTCTGCAAAGCCTCCAGAGTCCTGTAAAGGCCCTTGGCAATTTTGCAGAACAGCTACAATTTGTGGAAAAAGCTACAAATACTTATATGGATGATTTTGAAGAGCTACAGAGACAATTAGGGACTAAAATCTTGGAAAACATTGAAGAAGAATTGCAAGCAATAAAAACCCTAATGGAAACTTTAGATAAATCCAATCACAATTTGAAAAATAAGTTGGCAATTTTGGAAAAATCAACCATTGATTTGGATTGGGACAATGATTCCTTTATTACAAAAGGCACCCCAATTCAGCCACCTTTGAGGCAAATTTTGCAAATGGCTTATGAGTTTTGGCTCTATTTTTCAAGGGCCTCTAAAACTATCAATAGTGAATTGAAGAATATTAATTTTAGAGATGAAAAAAGCATGGAGCAATTGCAAAATGCTTTTTCTTTAAGCTTGGAAGTGCATAATAATAGGGAGGTTTATGGGATTTTAGCATTAACTCAATATGTTGTAAATGAAAAAGCTGTAACATGATTTATTGAAGCCTTTTTACAATTTTATTTTTCTTCTTTTTTGATGATTTTTTTCTCAACAATTTTTGTTCTTCTTCATCAGGATCCAATCCTTCTAGAATCCATTTTTTCCTCAAATTAATCAATTTCTTTTCATAAAAGTCGCCTTCTTCTAGTTTAATATAAGCTTCACTTCTTGTGACTGATACTTGTGTGAAAATTTTACCAACTTCTTTATCATCAAGTTTATGCTCAGTGAGTTTGGTTTTGATAAGTTCCTCTATGGCTTGCAGTAGTTTAATGTCGTAAGGTGTGCACAAAGTAATTGCTTTGCCTCCTCTGCCTGCTCTAGCAGTTCTGCCAACCCTATGAATGTATTCTTTGGACACTTTGGGGACGTTATGATTGATTACCAGTTGAACTGTTGGTATATCAAGGCCTGAATAATGATTAATTGTTAATTGACACAAAGATATTTGAGTAAATATTGTCTTACCTCTGCTAGCAACATCTGTAGCTATAAGAATCTTCACCCTGTTGCTTTTGAATTTATTCAAAGCTGCTAGACGTTGAGCTTGAGGTATCATTGCATGTAGGGCTACATTTTCAATGCCTACTTCATTTAGGGTTATTGACAATACTTGACAGTTCCTAAAATAATCAATATTATTAAGATAAATAATCTTGATTGAAAATTCCTTACTTGCAAGTATCAGTAAATATCATAACATTCCCTTCTTCATTGTTATCCCTATAAACCCTGAGTAATTCAACCAAATAAGCATCTTTAACATCCTTGGGACAAAGCAAATATTGCTGTTGTAGTCCAGCAACTGTTGCCACTTGACTTTTATCTTCAAAAATGAAAACTTTTCCCCCAATTGTGCCTTTTAAAATGTTCAACGTATCAGTTATGGTGGCTGAAAAAAACAAGTTTTGTCTTGATTTTGGAAGGGCAGTAAATATTGTTTTGATTTGTCCATCAAAGTGGCCTCCCAATAAGCGATCAGCTTCGTCCAAGACTAAAAACTTGATTTTTGATAAAGTAAAGGTTTTGCAGCTTTCTAAGTGGTCTGCCAATCTTCCTGGGGTTGCAACAACTATGTGAGGATTTTTAGATAGTTGTTTGCCTTGCTCAATCATGTCCATGCCTCCTACAACTACGCAGGTTTTTAAATTCATTGCTTTTCCTATTATTGAAAATTGGTCTGCTATTTGGTAGGCTAATTCTCTTGTTGGAGTTAGGATAAGGGCGTAAATACCGTAGGGTTCTTCGCACAGTTTTTGGACTATTGGTAAAGCAAAGGCCAGAGTTTTACCACTACCTAAAAAAAATTTTGGACTTGGATTAATATGGTCAACTTTGAAGTTTGATAGCTCAGGAAGCCCATAAGCTACTGGAGCAAGTTTGGTACAGTTTCAATAATGCTATTTCCAATGATATATAATTGAAATCAATTTACTTACTTAGACTTATTCCAGATATGGACAATTATCAATAAGTATGTTGGAGTTTTCAAAAAGAGCCACAAATGAGTTTTTCTTTAGGATTTTGTCTACAAATCTTCAAAGCTGGATATCTTGGTAACAAAAAGCAGTATTGGGACAAAATTTACAGGAATTGTAGCTCTTGATAAAGGTTTTCAGATAGTATTTAGCTCAAACCACTAGTGTTTATAGTTTTTGAGAAAATTGGGTTTGAAGTTTATAACAAAAGTTCAACTTTGAGGCTTGATAACTCAGGAACCCTATGAGCTACTGTAGCAAATTTGGCACGGTTTTAAAGACAATTTAATGCTCTTTCCAATGATATATAATTGAAATCAATCAAAAATTATCAATAACAATGTCAGGATTTTAAAGGTTTTTCTAGAAATATCAACTTTGCCAAACAAATACTTACCTATCCAAGGTTTAAAATAATTGAAACAAATATAATACTTTGTAATCTTTATTATTCAACACAAGATTTACCTGTTTTTGCAGCCCCTATACAGTTTTGCCCTTCCAAAATCTTGGGAATACAATTCGTTTGTATTGGCGTTGGATTTTTCAGCCCTACAGTGGTTTTATAATCAAATTAAAGGGCAAAATTCATTATTTCCACTTACCTATAGAGTGACATTGTTTTATAATCCAGTTTTTTAAATTTAAATCCGAAAAATTTTGTTTATTTTCCATGTTGTTGTCTTCTATAAACATAACCTCACTTTAATAAAATGACGTCAAGTCAAGTCTCAAGTACCATGTTGCCAGATTTAATGGCGATTTCCATTTTATTTGTCAGTCAGTGCTGCACTGAATGTATTCGCGTCTTATTCTAAAAGCATGTAACATACAAGGATAAGAATACATGGAAATCGCTATTAGTCGTCCACCAATGGAAATCTGCCACAACTGACAGATGGAGCCCCATTGCCGGCACGTCTACGTCAGGCGGATCAGCTGTTTACGTATTTGACAAAAGTTTTCTGACGTGGTTTTTCCATAAGCAAATGAAATATTTTCGGTCCAAGTTTTGAATAAAAATTTAAAGGAAAACTTCTCTAGTTATTGTAACTCTGAAGCCGATATAGGCATTTTACCAGTAAGTATTAATTTTCATTGAATTATTACATTTTTTTAAGTCAAAAACCCTATTTTTTGAGGTTATATTTCACTCTTTTTTTCCATATTTACTGTTTAATTATTTTAGTTTGCACATAATTTACTAATTTCCCAATATAATTATTCAATTTTCCTTTTCATTATTCAAAAAAAAAAAATAAATTTGAACATAAACTTAACTTAATTTTAGGTAAAATTCTGGTTGAGATGTTTTAGGTTTATTCTCCTCCTTTCTCATTCTCATCCACTTCCATATTCTTCCATTTCTTTCTGTCCTTAATTGTCTGTATTCAGTTTTTGTCCAGCAATAATCCTTTTTGAGGTCTTCCACTGTGTTCTGTTAATCATTTTAATAACATTATTGGGCCCATTTTTTGAAAATAAAATGATTTGAAAATCGAACTTTTAATCTGCTGCGAAAACACAGTAGGTATAGGAATGTGACGTCACTTTCCTAGTAATGCTAAGAGGATGTTGAATATCTCATTAGTAAATCATTACACAACTACTCGCACAACCTAAAAGCTATTTTTGTCCTTTACTATGTTATGAAAAAAATAAAGGATGGATATAATCGCTGAACTCCATTTCCATGTCTCTTTTCTAATTAGGGTCATTTTTTTATTATTCCAGGCTCTTGAATTTTTTGTTTCTTTCTAAATTTATTTTCAGAAAAGAATAAGGAACATTCAAAAGCCTGGAATAGAAATAAAAGAAAAATGATCAATTTTCTTCATGTCTCCACTCTATTTCCAATTCTCTTTTCTTTGGTGTCATTTTGTGATTATTCCAGGCTCTTGGATTTCTGTTTTCTTCTTAATTTGTTTTTATATAAAAATAAGGAACATGCAAGAGCCAGGAATAGGAAAGGAAAATGATAAATTTTCCTTCAATTTCTCCATTCTATTTCCATTCGTCTTTACTTTAGTGTCAATTTTGAATTATTCCAGGCTCTCGAATTCCTGTTTACTTCTAAATTTCGTTTTATAAAAGAATAAGGAACATTCAAAAGCCTGCAAGGGGTAAACCACCATCCCAGAATTGGTGCAAACAATTCCTCAAAGGCGAATTTTTTACGCATAATTCCTCAAAATTCCACCAAATTCTTCCAGTTATCCCATCACAAATTCCTCCAAATACCACACCACGAACTTCTCCAAATACATACCCCATAAATTCTTCTAAAAAAAGGAAAAATTTTGAAACTTTTTGTATGTAAAGAGGAAGGTGAGAAGCTCATTTTCCCAAAATTTCAAATTTTTCAAGTAGAAAATTACAACATGAGGAATCTTGGAAATCAACCCACAATAACTGAATTAATTGAAAATACAGTCTCACTTATTTCAAAGTTTTCCTAAAAAAACTGGAAGGGAAAATTTAAAACTTTTTGCATATAAAGAGGAACTTCAAAACCTCATTTTCCCAAAGTTTCAAATTTTTCCAGTGGAAAACAGCAACATGAAAAATCTCGGAAATCAACCTACAAAAACTGAATTGGTTGAAAATACAGTCTCACACATTTTAAAGTTTTCCTGGAAAAATCGCGAAGGGAAAATTTTGAAACTTTTTGCATGTAAAGAGGAAGGTGAGAAGCTCATTTTCCCAGAATTTCAAATTGTTCCAGTAGAAAATTACAACATGAGGAATCTTGAAAAGCAACCTACAATAACTGACTTAATTGAATTTACAGTCTCACACATTTCAAAGTTTTCCTGGTAAACTAGTGCAGGGCAAATTTTGAAACTTTTTGCATGTAAAGAGGAAACTGAGAAGCTCATTTTCCCAAAATTTCAAATTTTTCCAGTAGAAAACAGCAACATGAAAAAAAGTAGAAAATTACAACATGAGGAATCTTGGAAATCAACCCACAATAACTGAATTAATTGAAAATACAGTCTCACTTATTTCAAAGTTTTCCTAAAAAAACTGGAAGGGAAAATTTAAAACTTTTTGCATGTAAAGAGGAACCTCAGAAGCTCATTTTCCCAAAGTTTCAAATTTTTCCAGTGGAAAACAGCAACATGAAAAATCTCGGAAATCAACCTACAAAAACTGAATTGGTTGAAAATACAGTCTCACATTTTAAAGTTTTCCTGGAAAAATAGAGAAGGGAAAATTTTGAAACTTTTCGCATGTAAAGAGGAAGGTGAGAAGCTCATTTTCCCAGAATTTCAAATTGTTCCAGTAGAAAATTACAACATGAGGAATCTTGAAAAGCAACCTACAATAACTGACTTAATTGAATATACAGTCTCACACATATCAAAGTTTGCCTGGTAAACTAGTGCAGGGCAAATTTTGAAACTTTTTGCATGTAAAGAGGAAACTGAGAAGCTCATTTTCCCAAAATTTCAAATTTTCCCATTAGAAAACAGCAACATAAAAAATCTTGGAAATCAACCTACAAAAACTGAATTAGTTGAAGATACAGTCTCACACATTTCAAAGTTTTCCTGGAAAACTAGTGAAGGGAGAAATTTGAAACTTTTTGCGTGTAAAGAGCGTGGTAAGAAGCTCATTTTCCCAAAATTTCAAATTTTTCCAGTAGAAAACAGCAACATGAAAAATCTTGGAAATCAACCTACAAAAACTGAATAAGTTGAAAATACAGTCTCACACATTTCAAAGTTTTCCTGGAAAACTAGTGAAGGGAAAATTTTGAAAGTTTTTGCAGATGTAAGATGAGAAACTCATTTTTCCAAAATTTCAAATTTTTCAAGTAGAAAATTACAACATGAGGAATCTTGGAAATCAACCCACAATAACTGAATTAATTGAAAATACAGTCTCACTTATTTCAAAGTTTTCCTGGAAAACTAGTGGAGGGAAAATTTTGAAACTTTTGCATGACAAGCTCATTTTCCCAAAATTTCAAATTTTTCCAGTAGAAAACAGGAACATGAAAAATCTTGGAAATCAACCTCTCGATCAACCTACAAAAACTGAATAAGTTGAAAATACAGTCTCACACATTTCAAAGTTTTCCTGGAAAACTAGTGAAGGGAGAAATTTGAAACTTTTTGCGTGTAAAGAGCGTGGTAAGAAGCTCATTTTCCTAAAATTTCGAAATTTTTCCAGTAGAAAACAGCAACATGAAAAATCTTGGAAATCAACCTCTCGATCAACCTACAAAAACTGAATAAGTTGAAAATACAGTCTCACACATTTCAAAGTTTTCCTGGAAAACTAGTGAAGGGAAAATTTTGAAAGTTTTTGCAGATGTAAGATGAGAAACTCATTTTTCCAAAATTTCAAATTTTTCAAGTAGAAAATTACAACATGAGGAATCTTGGAAATCAACCCACAATAACTGAATTAATTGAAAATACAGTCTCACTTATTTCAAAGTTTTCCTGGAAAACTAGTGGAGGGAAAATTTTGAAACTTTTGCATGACAAGCTCATTTTCCCAAAATTTCAAATTTTTCCAGTAGAAAACAGGAACATGAAAAATCTTGGAAATCAACCTCTCGATCAACCTACAAAAACTGAATAAGTTGAAAATACAGTCTCACACATTTCAAAGTTTTCCTGGAAAACTAGTGAAGGGAAAATTTTGAAACCTTTTGCATGTAAAGAGGAAAGTGAGAAGCTCATTTTCCCAAAATTTCAAATTTTTTTCAGTGGAAAATAACAACATGAAAAATTTCAAAGGTAAACGGTATTCATTATTCTTTTGAATTTTTTAAATTTGACAATTTCCTTTAAATTCCTCACAAATTTTCCCTAATTCCCCATAAATTCCTCCAAATTCCCTATAAATTCCCCAAATTCTCATAAATTTGGATGAGTTCCTCACAAATTCCTCTAAATTTTCTACAAATTCCTCTAAATTCCCCACATTTTTGGAAAAGAATTCCTAGGTGGTTTGCCCCTTGAAAGCCTGGAATCTCGCCTCGAATAAAAAAAAAAATGATCAATTTTCCTTGGATTTCTTCTCTCTATTTCCATTTCTCTTTTCTTTAGTGTCAATTTTTGATTATTTAAGGCTCTTGAATTCCTGTTTTCTTGTAAATTTTTCTTTATAAAAAAAAAGGAACATTCAAAAGCCTGGAATAGAAAAGAAAAATGATCAATTTTCCTCAAAATTTTCCCTTTCTATATCCATGTTTCTTTTGTTCAGGATCAATTTTTGATTATTCCAGGCTCTTGAAATTCTAAAATGGGGTTGAATTCTTGAATTTCTGTTTTCCCTAATTTTTCCTGATTACCAGCACCGGCGTCTCTAGCCCATGCGTCTGGGTAGCGGAGAGAAAGGGGGGTAGTCAACCCGGAGGAGAAATTTTATTTCCGGATGCCACGCCCAAAAACTCTGATGAGATACCCCAAAAACTTTCAAATTATAACGAATTCTATAATGGTAGAATCAGTGCAAAAAATGTATTTTTATCTCTTTCTTATGCAAGCTAGTAGAAAAAGACACCGAATGCACTCAGTGCGCACTATCCCTTTCCATATAATTTGATGTAAATGGCGTGCGGGTAGTGCGGACACTAGGCAATTTTTCATGATTATAATCAAAAATATTCTTATCCTGTCAATTGTGTCATACCCCCTAACTCCCCCACCATCAAATTCTGGGATACTCGGAGATCAAGAACACTAAATTTCTTCGATGGTCTGCGGGTGACGTCATCACTGTAAGCTTCTGTCAGAGTGGCGTCAGTCGCAGGCCCAGAATTTGATGGAGAGGGAGTTAGAGGAGCATGACATAATTCACACATCACATAATTTAGCATACAGATTATTAGGCGATTCGAATCAGTTGATAATTCAAGATGGCGATGGGGCCCGAAATGTGAACAAACATTGCCTCCATATAAATGTGGGTTATTTCCAAGGATGATACACACCTACAGGATTTATCGGCCTCGTTTTTTGTAATCGCCGCCATATTGTTGTGTCACCATTTCCGACGTCATAACTAAGTCTTCAGTTGTTCAAACAACCTACGTCATGGCGAGAAATAACATGTTGCCTACGTCACAACTGATGATTTGGCGAGGGGGGTTTTCTTCCACAATCCACACAGGCCTTATGAGAATAGGCCATTCTGTAGTAGTATTATGTATCATCCTTGGATTTGACGTTCTCTCAATTCAATATGGCGCCGTGGCAATAACACACCTGACAACTGTAACCGTAAAGGCCTCTAAAAAAAAACCAAGTAGGCCTTTTTTCGTATGTCGACGTGCAGAAGATTAAGGTCAATATACACCTTTTCTTCGAAACTCTGTATTTTCGATAATATTGAAAATATCAGAGTCAATAAAAAACGAAAATGTTGGGAAAAAATCAGGTTACAATTTGGTGTTGAAAAGCAGGGTATCTCAAAAAACACTGAAAATTACTGACTTTCTTTCCATCCCTGTATATGATATAAACACGAATTATTTAATAACGATGATACGTCAGATGTATTCTTGAAGAATCAAGCAACAATCTGTGAAAAATTCATTGAAATCGAGCAAAGTCATGTCAAAGTAAATTTTGTCCGTTCTCCTAATTTTGCAAGTTGGAGATTGACTGATTTCTCTAAGATTTCTTATGATTTCCTTAAGAGTTTCCCTGAATTCCTTAAGATTTCCTTTTAATTTCCCCTAATTTGTACACCAGATTTCCCTTGCAGTTAACCCTTTGACTTGTGCTAGGTATATGAGAGTTTTTCGTAATGTCTTTTATTGTAAAATTGGGATATTTCGCCAAAATTATAAAGAATATAATAATAAAGGCTTTTTATGTGTTTATTTATTTATTTAGTTATTTGTTTCTCTTTGTCTTGTGTCTCATAACATTTGTTTTTCTTTTGCCTTTTGTTCATACTTCAAATTCAACTTTTGACTATTCCTGGCTCTTAATTGGGTTAGTTTGATTTAATTTCATCAATATAAGAGCCAGGAATAATCAAAATTTGGATACAAATATAATTGTTAGTATTTCTATTATAGATCAAAAAAAAATTAAAAATGAGGCTCCCTCTAATACTACTACCAACAATCCTGTTTACCCTGGCCGGTCTCAGTAATGTCCAAAGTTTAGCGGTAATGTCCGTGGATTTTGGTTCAGAATGGATGAAAGTGGGCATAGTTTCTCCAGGCGTTCCAATGGAAATAGCCCTAAACAAAGAATCCAAAAGGAAAACCCCAGCTGTCATCAGCTTCAGAGACAACGTACGATTATTCGGCGAAGACGCCCAAACCATAGGGCTCCGATTCCCGAAACAAGCCTATAGCTACTTGCTGGATTTGCTGGGCAAAAGCATAGACCATCCTTTGGTGCAACTATACCAAAAACGCTTTCCCTACTACGAAATTTTGCCCGACCAAGAACGGGGTACTATAGTTTTCAAGCAGGACGAAAACACGTTTTTCACTCCGGAGGAGTTGATCGCTCAGTTTTTGGCCAAGGCCAAGGAGTTTGCTGAAGTTGGAGCTCAGCAGAAGATTAAGGAATGTGTATTGACTGTGCCTGGGTTTTTCAATCAAGTTGAAAGGAAGGCTATTTTGCAAGCGGCTGAGTTAGCTGGGCTTAAAGTTTTGCAGTTGATGAACGATTATACTGCTGTTGCGTTGAATTATGGTAAGGATTTTTAGATTTTCTAATGATATTTTCTGAGAATGGAGTTCAGAGCTGCTTTTGGGTGTCACCCTCTGAGCGCTCTCAAGTTACTCCGGCTACATTTTGACGCGTTTGAGAGTATGACAAGTGTTCTAGGAGCTTCGCAGTCTGCACCCGAAAGCGGCTCAGAGCTTCAATTTCATCAGAACGGGTCTCTATTGCCCTATTTGAAATGAGGCAATTTTGACTTTAGAAATTGATAGAGCGAGTCCGAATTAGTCAGAATCATCTCTAACATCAATTGAATTTGAAAATTTCGATGAGAAAAAAAAATCCAGAAGGTAATCTCATTTTTGGCTCAGGAAATTTTTTGAAATTTTGACAGAGATCTTCGATGATATTTGAGGAAATTACCTACAATTATACATCGTTAGAAAGAGAATTAAATTCTCTTCAAGCTCGTGCAAAATTGGTGTTTGTGGCTTCTCAAGTTTCCACGTTATAGAGCCTCAAAGTTGAAATTCAGTAGACATTTTGTCCGAAACTTCAAACTCGATTTTCTCAAGTACCATAAATGCTAGCGCTTTCATCTAAATACCATCTAAAAGCCCTCATCAAGAACACGAATGCATGAAAATTTTACTCCAGTATCGCTTTTGGTTACCGAGATATTGGAGTTTGAAGATTTGTAAATAAAAATCCAAAGGGGGTACCCTTAGGAAATAGAGCAAAAAATTGAAAATTTATATTTTTGGATTTTTTTCAATTTTGACTTTAGAAATCGATAGAGCGAGTCCAAATTATTCAGAAACCACTCTGACATCAATTGAATTTGAAAATTTCGATGAGAAAAAAAAATCCAAAAGGAAATCTCATTTTTGGCTATGGACATTTTTTAAAATTTTGACACGCTCATGAATAACTGCTCAAATCTTGGATGACATTTGAGGAAATTGCCTACAATTATACATCATTGGAAAGAGAATTAAGTTCTCTATAAGCTCGTGCAAAATTGGTTTTCGTGGCTTCTCAAGTTTTCAAGTTATAGAACCTCAAAGTTGAAATTCACTAGACATTTTGTCCAAAACTTCAAACTCGATTTTCTCAAGAACCATTAATACTAGCGCTTTCATCTAAATACCATCTGAAAGCCCTCATCAAGAACTACAATGCATGAAAGTTTTATCCCAGTGCTGCTTTTGTTTACCGAGATATTGGAGTTTGAAGATTTGTAAATAAAAATCAAAAGGGGATATCCTTAGGAAATAGAGCAAAAAATTGAAAATTTCTATTTTTGGATTTTTTTCAATTTTGATTTTTGAAATCGCTAGAGAGAATTCAAATTAGTCAGTAACAGCTCTATTATAAATTAAATTTAAAAAAGTTGCTCCAAAATCTCATTTTTGTCTCTGAACATTATTTGAAATTTTGACACGCTCATGAATAATTGCTCAGATTTTCGATAACATTTAAGGAAATTGCCTATAATCATACATCATTGGAAAGAGTGTTAAATTCTCTATCAGCTCGTGCAAAATTGGTCTTTGTAGCTTTTAAAGTTTCCAAGTTATAGAGCCTCAAAGTTAGAATTTAGTCGACATTTTGTCTCAAACTCCAAACTCGATTCAAGAGCCGGGAATAAAATTCTTACGCTTCTTTAATACAGAAATAATTGTCTCTATTACCCCCAATCACTTAGATTTGTGATGAGGCAACTTTTTGACAATTCAAGCTCAAAATGTTTTCTTCAAAAACTACTAAACATACAGGTATGAAGCTTTGAGGCAACTCGTACAAAAAAAATAATGAAAAATAATGAATTTGTCTTTCTTCTAAGCAAGGACGAATCAAAAATTTGCGATTTCTTTTCAAATTCCAGGCATCTTCCGAACCAAAACCTTCAACGAAACCGCCCAATACGTCATGTTTTACGACATGGGCGCTTCTTCGACAACCGCCACCCTTGTAAGCTACCAAAACATCAAAACCAAAGAGCGAGGTTTTGTAGAAACCCACCCCCAAGTGTCAGTTTTGGGAGTCGGTTATGATAGAACATTGGGAGGGCTGGAGCTCCAACTAAGACTCAGAGACTATTTGGCCAAGAAGTTTAACGAAATGAAAAAGACTCAAAATGATGTTTTTGAGAATCCTAGAGCTTTGGCTAAGTTGTTCAAAGAAGCTGGACGATTGAAAAACGTTCTGTCAGCTAATTTGGAACATTATGCTCAAGTTGAAGGCCTTTTAGATGAAAAAGACTTCAAATTGTTAGTAACAAGAGACGAATTAGAAGCATTAATTGAAGATTTGTTTGAACGAGTAGCCAAACCAGTAGAGCAAGCTTTGAAATCAGCCCATTTAACCATAGACGTAGTGGGGCAAGTGGTTCTTGTAGGAGCCGGTACCAGGGTACCAAAAATCCAGGAAATCTTGCAAAAATCTGTTGGGAAAGAACTGGCCAAGAATTTGAACACTGATGAAGCTGCTACGATGGGGGCAGTTTACAAGGCAGCTGATTTGAGTACAGGATTTAAGGTTACCAAGTTTTTGACCAAGGATGCTGTGCTGTTTCCTATACAGATTGTTTTCCAGAGGGATACCAAAGAAGGTATTTTAATTTAGTTAATTTAGGTCTGGTTTATTCATCTTTAGGTAACTGTCTCCAATAGGATTATAAATTGTGTTTTTATCTGCAACAGAAGGTGCATTAACCAACCCTAAAGGGGACAGAAATTTTCTTCTTTATCAAGATAATTTTTCAACTCTTATCAGAGACTATTAAAGTCAATTTATCTCTGTTAGTAATTTAATTCTGATCTCTTCCTCATAGGCATTAAGACAGTAAAACGAACCCTCTTCGGGCTAATGAACCCCTACCCTCAGAAGAAAATCATCACCTTCAACAAGCACACTGACGATTTCAGTTTTGTCGCTAACTACGCCGACCTTGATTATCTATCAGAAAGCGAAATTGTCTATATCGGCGCTCAGAATCTGAGCGAATATAAACTCACCGGGGTAGCTGAAGCCATCGAGAAAAACCTTGGCGAAAACGTCGAAAGCAAAGGCATCAAGGCTCACTTCAACTTAGACGAGTCTGGCATTTTGAATCTAGCCAATGTCGAATTAGTTGTTGAAAAAATTGTAGATCCTTCAGAAGATGAAGGCACTTTGTCCAAAATTGGCAGTACTTTTAGTAAATTGTTTGGTGGTACCGATGAGCCTACAAAAGAAGAAGAAGGTAGTGCGCAAACTGAAGAAAAACCTGTACACGAAGTGCACGACGAAGACAAACCAAAAACCGAAGAACTAAAACCACAAAACGAAACCGAATCCAAAAATAATTCCACCAAAACAACAACAGCCAAACCCAAATTGGTAACTGTAAAAACCCCAATACAATCTCTGGAAAATGTTTTGTCAATTAACAGCCTAAACAAAAAACAATTCCAAGAATCAATAAAGAAAATCGAAAAGTTTGACAAAGTCGAAAAAGAAATAACCAGGCGAGCAACTACTTTAAACAACTTAGAAAGCTTTGCGATTGACGTACAAAACAAACTATACGAAACTGAATATACTGAAGCAGCAACTGAAGAAGAAATCGAAAAAATCAAACAAAAATGCTCTGAAGTTTCAGAGTGGCTGTACGAAGACGGCTCAGAAGCTGACGCCGATACCTACGAAAAAAAACTGGACGAAGTCCAAGGTTTAACCAGAGAACTTTTCTCCAGAGTTTGGGAACACAAAGAACGCCCCGAAGCCTTAAAAGCCATGCACTCGATGCTAAATCACTCAACTGCATTTTTCAACACTGCCAAAAATTTCACCGAAACATCCAATCCTGATAATTACGTCTTCAAAGACTCAGAAATTGAAGCCCTTGACAAACTAATTACTACTACAACAGAATGGAGAGACAAATTAATTGCCGAGCAAAACAAATTGAAAAAATCTGATCCACCTAAGTTGACCGTAAAGATGCTTATGGACAAAATGGCTGCATTGGACAGGGAAGTTAAGTATCTTGTACACAAATTGAAGAATTTCAGGCCCAAAAAGGTGGTGGAAACCAAAGAAGAAAAGCCTGAAGACAACAACAACAATACAAAAACCGAAGAAATTGTCTTAGAAGAAGAAGATTCTCCAAAGGAAAACAATACAACTACTGAAAATCAAACAGAAGACACACACGCCGAATTATAATAATTTCTGTTGGACAAATTTTAGGTTGCATTTATTTATTTTTTAATTTATTTAATTTGGGGCGTTGTGTGTGCAAACTTCTGTGATCTTTGTAAGGGGATTGAGTTTAAAGAATAATTGAATTGTTCATTGGAATGGCAATTGTATTACCAAATAATTTTGTTAAATGTAAAGCCGATTTAGGATTAAAGTTTTTTTTTCCATGAATGATTGTGTTTTATTTTCGAATTTTTTGGTATGAATGCACTGGACATCTTCCAGAACCCATTTGCGATCCATTGCAGTATGTCAATGGATATTATGATTATTAGTTATTAGTGTTAAGGAGCAATAATCTAATCTCGCTGAGGCAGCAGGTTAAGCGGGCCAGGTCAATATATTGTAAACCTTAGTGGAACAGAATAAACTTAGATATTGAAGGAAAGAGTTGTCTGAACACCATGTAAATCATCCATCATCGGTAGAGAAACTTGGGGCTTAAATTTAAAACAAATAATGCATTAAGGCGGCATAACACGTTTAGCTAAATTTTTCCCAGAGGTAGGCCAATAATAATGTAAGCTAATAATAGTGCTTGAGGTCCACAATGCTGTTTGGAATATTCTCAATGACAAATACAGCAGTAACAGACTTATAGTCTTCAAACTACTAGATAGGATCTTAGATCTTCCAGTGATTAATCACGAATCTTCATTCAAAAATAAACAGCTTCACGATATAGTTGTGGAATGTCTTGAAGGCATCAATAATTTAAGTATCGATACTTCTAATTGGGGTCCTATTATCAGTCGCATCACCTGCTGGAAATGGGACCATGAAACCAACAGGCTTTATGAACAATCGCTTAGCAAGCCCCATGAAATACAGGACTTTGTTGAAATAAGGAAATTTCTTCAAGCAAGATTTCAATCATTGGAAGCAATTTTAGACATACAGAAGAAAATTCACCCCAAGTCACATAAAATAATGACAAAGCCACAAGTACTGATGCTTGTAAGTACTGTAATGAATCCCACATGATTTACCACTTACCATCGTATTTCCAACAACCATGCAGCAACATACAACAGTCCAGAAAATCAGCGTTCAGAAATGATCAAAGAACCGAGACTTTAACAAGCTATATCAGCCCACAAGATAAAGGTATTCGTGGCAACAACACACTAACCCAATCAGCATTTATAACCGAAAAAGCTGCAAATCTATTCGCTCTGCCCAGACAGAAAATTCAAGCAAAAATTACAGGGCTTGACGCAGAAGACCTACAAGTGTCAAAATCCCAGTTAGAGATTTTCAAACAATTTCCAGCTTGATGTTCTCGGAATCGTTCTACTTCAACTAACACGAACTTTTCCTGAAGTAGACCTTGAAGTAGACATATAACAATGGAAGAACGACGTCCTTGCTGATCTAACATTCTATAAACCTGGTCCAATAGATATACTTCTCGGGAATATGCCCAGTTAATCTTGGAAGGCATACGAAAAACTGAAGATGGCCTCCTTGGCCAACAAATAGAATTAGGATGGATTTGTGATGATCCAGAAATTTGACCAGATAATTACAAAGTCTTTACTGTAAAAATTGAATTTTATCAAATAATCAAAATTTAATTCCGGTATTTTTAAATCTGTATCGATAAATTAAAATAAAACAAATTAACGCGACGTATCTCGACACACAGGATGTGTGTCATCAAAAATCCGATCAATGAACTTTTTTTCTAGCAAGTCCAGCATGTTAATTAATTTGAAGATATATGGCATTCTTGAACCAATAACGTTTTGACCTCAATAAATCAGCTAATTGCGACATAATTAATTGATTTCAGGCTTAAAATGATGTAAAATTCCAAGGAAATTGCATCATTATTTTAATAATAATTAGCTTGGCCAATGGAAGTGTCGGATTGCTAGGCAAATGACCGCCTGTTGACGATTTGGGGGAAGATATAAAAACCACGGTTTCAGTTGCCATTGGGGAGTTGCCAGAAAAGAGTTGAGTCGTTCATTTGAGTTAAAGTCTGTCCAGTTTCACGAAAAGTTACTTTTATGGCTTATGGCCTCGGGTATAAATTAACTTAGAAAATTTACGGAAAATCGTGAAAGTAATAACATTTGAAATTCGTTCAATAATTTATGTGCGTGCTAGCTAAATATTTTGCGTAATTAATTAAGTAATTTTACGTGTGTTTTATGGACAAATTGTAAGTACTTTATAGTGACAAGATTTATTTTTGATGAACATGACTTTGTGTGATTAAACTCTGACTTTCATTGCATAAAAACAAACTGAGTGATTTCTACTAGAAATACTTTTGAATTTATAAACTTGAGGGTTGTATTACTAGAAAAACTTTTGACTTTTAATTTAACAGTGGAACTTTATTGCCTTAAATAGTAATAACTCGAGTGTTTTATAAATGGAACATTATTGCATAGATATAATGACATTTAATGGCGAAAAGAGAATATGAAGAGTGCTTATAATGCATTTAACAATATACTATTTTGAGTTGGAATTATGAATTACACAGTTGTATTTATTAGCTAGGCATAGGAATCCGAAAATAGAATTTGTTCTGATAAACCATTAACTGCAATAGGAAATTTTGAAAAGAAATTTGCTGTCATAAAATAGAATTGTTTTCTTGAAATATTGGAAACATATTAAAAGGAAACTTATATTAGAATTTGTTCTGATTAAATAAACTATGAAAGGGAATAGAAATTTATATAGAGTACATTGGGGCGTTTTGCTACAGATTCTTTCCGGAAATCTACCAAAAATTCGGAAAACAAACTACAAGTTGTCAGCATGATAACATGTATTGAAGAAGACAGACAATTTACTAAATTTTGGGAAACTGAAGAGGTCTCAGAAACACATTCACTATCAGAAGATGATCAATATTGCGAACAACATTACGAAGCCACCACTACAAGAAATACACATGGAGCATACACAGTAAGAATTCCATTCAATGGAAAAGAGAGTCTATTAGGAGTGTCTCTAGATCACGAACCGTCGTACGACTGGTTCAATTAGAGAAAATAATGAGCAGTAACACAGAATTGGAAATCGCTTATATGCAAGAATATCTAAACCTTGGTCACATGAAATGGCTTCCACAGCATCAATATATTATCAACCGGTATTCAAAGAATCCAACACTACAACAAAATTAAGGGTGGCGATGCTTCCAGAGAAACTTCATCAGGATTGAGTCTCAACAATACCATGTATGCTGGAGGTCACATAAAGTAGCGATAACAACTGGCATTGAAAAAATGTACAGGCAGATGAAGATTCACGCGGATGACTTGAAGTATCAGAAAATCTTATGGAGATTTGATAATAACACACCAATTAATGAATATTGCTTAACAACTGTAACCTATAGGACGAGAGCTGCACCATATTGTTCGTCGACTTTTAACTGATACTTGCGGTATGAGGAGCGAGGGGGTGTTTCATATGGCAAAAACAGGTCAGGTAACCATTGGCGTTCTAATGTAGGGAGCCACCATCTCACATTCCGTCCGAGTATCAGATTAAAATCGACGAACAATACTTACCTATTAAAACATTACAAAAGTTTGCCCACGAAGAGAGATGGACCTTTCCTAATGCATCCAAAGCAGCAATGAAAGATTTTTATGTCGACGACTTGCTCTCAGGTGCTGACACTATCACTACAAGACGAAGTCATCAAAATGTTTCAATGAGGAGGGTTCACGTTGCGAAAATGGTCCAGCAACAAACGAGAGTTACTGCAGACACTTCCGAATGAACTGAAAGATCAATCAGCAGTGAAAATAATTGAATAAGATGACATAAGAAAGTCTCTATGTATCCATTGGGCTCCGTATAATGACACATTTAGATTCAAAACTGAAATATCGATCAGTGATAACATTACTGAAAGGAGCATTCTTTCAGAGGTTGCTAAGTTATTCTACTCACTAGGATGGTTAGGTATATAAGCTCCTTATTCACGAATTATAGCTGCAAGAGTTAAAGCTAAAATGGGATGATCATGTGCCACTCTTGATTAAGAGCAAATGGGAAATTTTCCGAACAGAACTAGAGTGTTGAGAAACAATGATAACATCACTGAAAGGAGAGACAACAACACAGAGGTTGCTAAGTTATTCGACCCAGTAGGATGGTTAATTATTTCCAATAATCATTCAAAGATAGTCCATCAAAAAGAATTGTGCAGTACCTACCTGTCTAGCCTTTCCATTTTATATAATTTTTTTTTCAATCGTTGAAGAATTACCTATATTGCTAATTCCTGTTTCAATGGGCACACTACTAAGCAAATCTTATAGCCCTTTGGACTTTGTTTTAGTAGTCCTAAAGCAAAAATGTTTTTCTCTGTTAAATATCTTCGGTGCAACTTTTTTCTGTTAATGATAAAGTTAAATCAATGTTCAATCAACTTGGTTTACAATAAAAGGAAACTTATCCCTACTTTGAAATCTGCACCACTACGTCCAATTAAACGGCTAGTTTTGTCAAAATGATGGTTGTATACTCCATAATTGGTCCGTACATTAGAGAGTTTTTGGTTAGGTACTAAAGTTTTGCAGCAATATATCAAATACCTAAATAGAGAGAAAATTAACAGTAGATATACTAAGCCAGTTCTACAGCGGAAGTTATATAGGTATTGATAGCAACACACAATATGTATAATATGTAATACTAGTATTCTGTCACTGTTAAACCCAGTTTTCTTCATGAAGCCGGCATAGGATGGCTTTAGGACTTTTAGTATATTGTTCAGTACACTAAATATACTCCTGGACTAAATTATCGCACCACTGCTTATGTGCAATGGTGGTGCGATAATTTTGTCCAGGAGTATATTTATTTCTACCAAATTTCAATTTTTTTCCGGATCAAACCCTTATATGACTGGCCTACATCAAAGGGCTGTCAAACACAGGTGAAACCTCAAAGCAAATAACAGGCTGTGACGATAAGGCTCCAAAAGTACAGCCATAACTATCAGAATTTAATTTAACATCATAAAAATCATGTTTCAACTGTGTAGTTACTCCTCCAAACAAACAATGATTAACTTTGTTTTGATGCTTGAATTTGTAGCCTAACAATTCTGCTGTAGGTACTTTTTAAAATATAACTATTTTGAGATCCTGTATCTACTAGTGCTCGTAGGCTCCTGAACCAATACA